TTTAGGGCTAAAATACCACTTTAGCCCATTGGGCTAGAGTTATTTCTTCAAGTATTTTATTTATAAAAGCGATATTGGGGAATGAGAATTTAAATTTTTTATGATACCTCCCATTCTAATGATTTCAAATATTAGCCCATTTGGGCAAGAATAAAAAATTAATTTTATTTATAACAAATAATACAAGTCGAACCCATAAATACCAAAAAGAAAAAAGTATTCGAATATATTAATAGTTAACGAGTATATAGAAAGTACAGCCGCGTGGCTATACAGTTTAAATATACAATTTTGTCATATCAATTTAGGTTTTAGGGCTAAAATACCACTTTAGACCATTGGGCTAGAGTTATTTCTTCAAGTATTTTATTTATGAAAGCGATATTGGGGAATGAGAATTTAAATTTTTTCTGATACCTCCCATTCTAATGATTTCAAATATTAGCCCATTTGGGCAAGAATAAAAAATTAATTTTATTTATAACAAATAATACAAGTCAAACCCATAAATACCAAAAAGAAAAAAGAAAAAAAGAAAAAAAAAAGGATAGGGACCTGTCAACATTTTGTGGATCAAAGAATGTTGAATTTTATAGTATAAATTGCTTGTATAGCAATTTACTTTCTAAAATGTATCCATTGTAATTATGAACTAAACCCAATTACAACCTTTTTTCTCATTGCACTTCACAATCACGCTCTTCTGCTATTAGAGATATTAGTTCGCGCTGTATTCAATGTAGATGAAAAATTGGATACAAAACAATCTAACGAGACAACGAAGAGAAGTTTGCAGCTCTGTTTTGAAATTAATTGAAGGCATCAGAGGTCATATGACATTGATATATGAACTATTCTAAATGAGAATTCAAATATGTGTTAGAGAAGAAGTAGCATCTCATTCTTAAATATAACATATTATTTCATTTGTCTACTTGTGCATATTGTTAAGCTGGTGCAACCAACATTCTAGTGTTTGATCTTGTACACACTCAGTAGAGGAAGTAATAACATCAACAGAAAATGAGACTTCCCTTGCACTAGGTACTGGACTTGCTAATGAATTGTTTGAAGAAGTAGCCTCTGGTAAACCATCAAGTCTATAAGTAACACACAAAGGTGAAGAGGGTAGATGAGGTCTATGAGAAAGGGAAGGTCTCAGTGGTATCAAATCTGGGGGTTTGGTATTGATTAGGGAAAGAGAAGTATTCTTAAAAGGAAAATAATCCTCATCAAAGATAACATGTCGAGATATGTAAATGCGATCAATTTTATGTTCCAGACAAAGATAGCCTTTATAATCCAAAGTATACCCCAGAAATACACATTGTTCAGACCTAGGTTGCACCTTAGATTGAGTATAGGGTCGTAATAGAGGATAACATGCATATCCAAACACCTTCAAAAGGGTGATATTTGGTTATTTGTGAAACAGTTTAGAGAATGGAGATTACATACTTAAGAGCTTACGTGGCATCCTATTAATGAGATAATTGGTTGTGGATAATGCATGAAATAGGTATTTGGATGGAAGAGCAGCTGTAGTGAGAAGTGTAACAGCAGTTTCCCCTAGGTGTCTATGTTTCCTTTTAGCCCTTCCATTTTGCTCAGGGGTGTAAGGACAAGACTTATGATGCAAAATCCCTTTTGAACTAAGATAGGTATGAAATTCTTTGCTAACATATTCCCCCCCGCCATCAGTTTGGAAAGTCTTAATAGAAGTAGCAAACTGATTCTCAACATAGGCAAGAAAATGAACAAAAGTAGAGAAGCAATTTGATTTCTTTGTTACGGGAAACAACCAACAAAATTTGGTACACTCATCAAGGAAAATTACATAGTACTTATGTGACCATGCATAGAGGAATAAGGAGTAGGACCCCAAACATGTGTATCACTTCAAAAGGTATTTGAGACACAACATGTGAAGAAGGAAATGGTTGTTTGCACACATCTTGCCTTGTAAACAGAAGCTACACACATGTGGTAAACTAGGAGAAATAGGAATATGAGCTTTGGCTAACATAGAACTAGTGATATCATGAGATGGATGGCTAAATCTATAGTGCCACAAAGTATTATGACAAACTTTTTGAACATGAAAAGCAGCCAAGCTAGGTAAAATGGGAGGTGCCCTTGTTGGAAGTGGATGAAGACCATTACTGCACTTTCCTTGATACAGAATTCTCCCCTTCATATCCTAAATTTGGAACCACAATGCATTATATAAAATCTAGCAGTGATTATCAAGGCAAAATTGATGAACTGACAGTAGATTAGTGGCAAGATTAGGAACATGCAAAACCTCAGGTAGATTAAAGACTTGATGACCAGAGACAAGAGAAGAGCTACCAACTTTAGCAATACTTAGTCCAGTACCATTACCTATAATGACATTGTCGGTGGAGGTGGAAGGAGCAATGTTGAGAGAAGCCTAAGATCTGAGGTCATATGGTTTGTAGCACCACTGTCTATTAACCATATGTTTGGATCCGAGAATTGACCACTACCAGTTGTAGTGCGGTGAGTGCTGGAAAAGGAGGCGTGCCTTCCTAACAAAAAGGCAAACGCCATGATCAAAGTTACTAAAATTAAGCCAAAAGAACATATAGCTTCAAAATCAGATGGACTTCTTCCTAAAATCAAATCATCATTGGGACTTAAAAAATTCAACTTAAACAATCATAAACTGCGCTGCAATTTCTGTTCAAGTTGCAACCATACTAACAAAAACAAAAACAAAAACAAAAAGCAAAGCCATCATAAAAAAAGCAACTAAAGATAGTCAAAAAAAACATATCCATTGATATTAGTACGAGTGCGAAAAATGTCATTCCCCAAACTCTTATTTTCTTATCGGACAATATAGTTGAACTTACTTTTATCATCATGCTATCTATCTCATGTCATTTGAATTAAGACTCGTGAGCGAACCATTTATAATAGTAC